CGAGAAAAAATACAGTAGTACTCTGATACCCAAATCAGCCAAGGATATCATAATAAGAGAAAACTACAGACCAGTATCTTATGAATATTAACACAAACATTCTGAACACAATACTAGCAAATTAAACCAAGGAGCATATAAAAGTGGGATTTGTCTCAGGAATGCAGGTTGGTTTAATATATGAAAATCAATTAATGTGAAAACCATATTAATAAAATAAAGGACAAAAACCACATCACTTCTGTGGAGATATGTAAAATAAAGATGCAAAAATCCTCAACAGAATACTAACAAAACTAATCTGGCAACATAAAAAAGAATTGTACATCATGACCAAGTGGGATTTACATATGAAAATCAATAGTGCAATAAACCATATTAATAGAATATGGGAAAATACCACATAATCATCTTAGTAGAGATGATACAGAATAGCATTTGACAAAATCCAACACCATTTCATGAGACAAACACTCAACAAATTAGGAATAGAAAGAAACATCCTCAACCTACTAAGGGGCATCTACAAAAAATCTAGAGCTAACATCATACTTAATGGTTAAAGACTGAATACTTTCCCTTTAGATGAGGAAAAAGACAAGGATATCCTCTTACACATCTACTCACATAGAAATACAAAGGACCCAAAATATCTTGGGGGGAAAAAAAGAACAAAGATGGAGGACTCACACTTCTCAGTTTCAAACTTACTACAAAACTACAGCAGAGGGACAGCATAGTACTTACAAAGACAGACATAGAGATCAACAGAATATAGAATTCAGAGTCCAGAAATAAACCCATCCATTTGTGGCCAAATGATTTTCAGCAAGGGTGCCAAGACAATTCAAGGAGGGGAAAAATTAACCTTTTCAATAAATGGTGCTAGAACAACTGGATATTCACATGCAAAACATAATTTGTACTCCAACATCACACTATACATAAAAATTACCTAAAATGGATCATAGATTTAAAAGGTAAATGCTGAAACTATAAAACTCTTAGGAAAAAATAGAGGAATGTCTGTGATCTTGGGTTAGACAATGGTTGTGATAGACACAGATAGATGCAACACCAGAAGAGAAGATAGATAAGTTGGACTTCATCAAAATTATACACTTTTTTATTCAAGTAACTCTATCAAGAAAGTTTAAAGACAACTCATAGGCTGGAAGAAATATTTGCAAGCCATATATCTGATAAGGGATTTGTATCCAGAATGTATAAAGAATTCTTATAACTCTATAATAAAAAGACATTCATTTAAAGATTAAAGATTTGAACAGATACTTGTACAAGAAGGTAAACAAATGGCCAATAAGCATGTGAAAAGATGCTCAACATCAACAGCTTTTAACCCAATAGCATCTACTCAGTCCCACCCCCAGTCCCTTGACAGGCAGGCACACATCTGTTCCAGGAGCATCTTACACACAGCTTGAAGAAGCCAGGTTGGCAAAATAGTGACTACTGTTTAAGATGAGAGTTGCTGACAGAGATGCCAGGCTATTATTGTCACACCTCCCCCCCACTGCTGCAAGTCCCTTCCCTTCTAGCTGAAGTGACTACCAGGAGATTTAAAGAGCTGGTGCCCTATTTCCTCCCCTTCCTTCTTCTACTTACCCCTTAGGGGAGCCAGGCATGCACAGAGAAAGGTGAAGAAGGCTCAGAGAAGAACTAAGAAGACCTTAAGATTATACCTCTGGCTGATCCTCAGCACATATATAACCTACAATAATTGAAAAATAAAAGTGCTAAAAGGAACAAAAGTAAATCAAGTGTACTCAAAATGCTAAAAGGAACAAAAGTAAATGAGGAACCCTGTATGTTGCAAAACTGTCCTTCAAAAGCAAGGGAGAAATTAAGACATCTCCAGAGAAACAAAAGCTAAGGGAATTCGCTCCCTCTAGACCTGCCCTGCAAGAAATGTTTCAGGGAATCCTGCAGGTTGGAATAGACAGGAACTTGAAGCCAAAAGAAGAAATAAAGATCTCAGAAAAGGCATGGGCAATTACAAAAGCTAGTATTATAATAACAATGGGTTGTAACACCACTTTTTGTTTTCTATATGATTTAAGAGACTAATACAATTTTTAAACAGCAATTAGTTGCCTAAGAGCAGATAGTATTATTCTAACTTTCGTTTTCAACTCCACATTTTGTTTTCCACATGATTTAAGAGACTAATACACTTTTTAAATTATTAGTTGATGTTTTTGGACACAAAATGCACAAAGATGTTATTTTGTGACATCAACAACTGAAAGGAATGGGAACAGACACGTTTTGTGTGTTACTGAAATAAGCTGGTATAATCCACATTAGTGTGTTATGACTTCAGGATGTTAAATGTGATCCCCATGGCAACCACAAGAAAAGAGCTATAGTATGTACACAAAAGGAAATGAGAAAGGAACTTAAGTGTTTCCCTACAAAAAAAAAACCCAACTGAACACAAGAGGAGACAGTAATGCAGGCAATGAGGGACAAAAAAATCTCTAAGGCATAGAGAAGACAAATAGCAAAATGACAGAAGCAAGTCTCTCCTTAACAGTCAGCCCTAAAAATGAAGGAAATTCTGTCATATGCTGCAACATAAATGAACTTTGAGGACATTATGCTAAGTGAAATAAGCCAGTCCCCAAAAATAAACAAATGCTGTATGATTCCACTACTTAGAGGAGTCAAAAAACAGAGACAGAAAGCAAAATGGTGGCTGCCAGAGATTGGGGGAAGATGGAATGGGAAATGATTGTGTATTGGGTATGGAGTTTCTGTTTTGCAAGATGAAAATAGTTCTGGAGACGGATGGTGATGATGGTTGCACAATAATGTGAATGTACTTAATACCACTGAATTGTATGCTTAAAAATGGTTATGATGGAAAATTTTTTGTTACGTGTATTTCACCACAATTAAAAAGCAAAAAAAGTGCAACACAAAAACTTGTACACCAGTGTTCACAGCAGCATTATTTATAATAACCAAAAGGTGGACATAACCCAAATTGTTCATCAACTGATGAACAATTAAAAAATGTGGTGTATCCATATAATGGAGTATCATCGGCCATAAAAAGGAATGAAGGATTGATACATGCTACAATATGGATCAACCTTAAACACATTATGTTGGGTGAAAGAAGCCAGACACAAAAGACCACATATTGTGTGATTCCATTTATATGAAATGTCCAGAAGAGACAAGTCCACTAAGACACAAAGTAGATTAGTGTTTGCCTAGGGTTGGGGATTCAGTTGCTGGGGGAGGTAGAAGGAATGGGAGGTGACTGCTTATAGGCACAAGGTTTCTTCTGGGTGAGATGAACATGGTCTCAAATTAGATTATGTCCATGGTTGCCCAACTTGTAAATATACAAAAAACTTACGACTGTACACTTCAAACGGGGGAACTTTATGGTGTGTAAATTATATATCAATAAGGTTGTTTAAAAAGAAAGTGTTACTGGGAAAAAAAAGGTCAAATAAAGACATTTTCAGAAAAGAAGACATGATACAATTTGTCTTCAGCAATCCCACACTCAAACAAATATTAAATGAAGAAGGATATGATCTCAGATGGAAGCCTGGAGATGTGGGTAGGAATGGAGAGTAGTACACATGTGGGTAAGTCTAAATATGGATGAGTAGCAAATCTGGATTTCAGCCAGAGGCTCTGTGCACAACTGTCTCTGTGCCATGGCCCTGCTCTCCCTTCCCCACAAAGTTCCATTGCCTTCCAGCCCAGGGCCTTTGCAGATGTTTTTCCCTCTGCCTGAACATGCTCTTCCCCACCCTCATGCTCTGCTTTCTTCTTGCTAACTCCTACTCATCTTTCAGACACCAGCTTCAATTCCACTTCCCAAGAAGACTGATATGCCTCTTCAGGATAAGCCAGACCTCCCACAATGCACTGTGAGGCACCCTGGACCTTTTGTTCACAGCACTTACCAGTTTTAATCATATCTATGTTTGCCTGAGCCTTTGGCCCAGTTCCCCTTTACAGACTTAAGCCTGCTTACATTCCCTATACATTCAACCAATTTCTCCTTTTCTTGGGGGAAAAGACAAAAATAAACTGACATAACTATTGTTCTCTAGTGAGTCACACCAAGATCTGTCTGTACCATTTTTAGAAAAATAAGTTTCACATTACTGAGGCAAATGGAATGTGTAATGATTGCAAAGTTCCTGTGAGAAATCTCTGTTCAAAAAAAAATGTGCCAACTTGCTGCTTCATGATAGATAATATCTTCAAGAGCAGAGGACCACCACACCCACCCCAAAGTGGCAGGGGCACCGACACTAGCCCTCACCACAGCCAACCTGGAAGGTGCCAGAGGAACTCTTGCCCTTTGAAGCAGACACCTAGATGTGTGTGCATAAAACCTTTTCTGTCTACTTATCAGAAAGGATAAGGAGGAGAAAGGCACAGATCTACTTTGACATACAGGAGAAAAGCAGGCAAAAAAATCTCATAAACAAAGGGCTGAACCCAGAGAATTCAGATGTTGAGTCACAGTGCTCTGAATAGAGCAAGAGGGGAAAGTAAAGGAACATACTGGGTGGTCAGTTTTGAAGTTTCCTAGTATCCTGTCATTATTTTTTCCTATAAAGAAACTAAAATTAGGCTTGGCTTAGAGAAGTGAGTCATCCCCTATCTTGCTAAAAATGTGTAAAACTTGACCACTGACTCCTTGAGGATAGGGAACATGTGCCCCTATATGGCATTGCTATACTGTAGGCACTCAATACAAACTGTTAAATGAATGAACAAACCAGGGGCACTTGTAGCACTTGCTAGACAAAAGAATTGCCTCCTGATAAAAACGACACAGTGTCAACTCTCAAATCACAGCCTCCAGGGTCAACCAGCCTGCCAGTATGTCTTAAGAACAGAAACAGACTTCCTTCAAAATACATGACTTAGCTAAACTACATCACATTTCTTAAGCCTGAGTTCTTCTTATCCATTGTTCCTTTTTAAACATCACCTACCCTATAACCATGCAGAGCAGAAGCTCAAAGGCCTTTGGCAGTGGAGGAATATGGATGCAGAGGTGGTCCATGCTCCAGATGCCTGGTCCCCATCCTCAGACTTCCCTTTGGCGATGGGCCAGGCAGGGACAGTAAGGGCACCCAGAGAGAACAAGGTAGTGGGCCACAACTTGCTGGGCTGTTTCTCTGCACAGAAACAATACAGCTTCATTCAAATAAACTTAATCATCCACAAGATAAACAGCACGATTTATAAGCATACGAATAGAATCTTATGTAAGATAAACCATACCCTCTACTGAAGCTTACATAACAGTTGATTTTGTGGTATTTGGATTCCTTGTGAATGAGCAAATTGGTAAGTTACTTAGCTGGGAATGTATACACAACTGCCCAATGCAGAATATACACATATACACACACACAAGAACCTGAGTTCACATACACAAAGTCTATGTGAATCCTCCTCAACAAAACCCATGTCTCAGACTGCGATGTAAAACAGTTTTCAGGGGTAACCTGTTCTCACTCATCTAGAGTATTTTTATACATGATTTGAAAAACATTTGTTTAGATATCTTCAGGTTGTCAGAGTTTTAAAAAAGCCTATTAGAGACTTTTACAAAACCATTATGTCAAAAATAGGTAAGCATGAGAGCCTCAAACTTTGCAACCTTAATTTAGAAATTTTATTTGCATAATTCTAGGAATAATATATAAATTCATTCTAATGTTGGGGTTATTCTGCTGAGATGTTATCTCACTTGGAAACTTCCCATCTCAGAGTGAGAGCTGTACCTTATGTTGATGGCTGCACACACATGCAATGAATGGGACATTGGAGCCCAGGGCACAGGGAAGCTTTGCTAGGGCTGGTCTATTTTTAACTTCATGGGTTTACTGAGGTCATACACTTCCTTTTTTCATGCATGTATGCCAAAAGTAATGGCATGAATAAAGTTCTTAAGGCTTAATTTATCTAGATGTTACATGTGTGATTGGCATTTCTGCAGCACAGCAGATGCAGAGCTGAGTTTTTTTTCAGTAGGAAGTCATGCTCCAAAGCCTATTAATAAGGAGACATACACCAACATTCTATTCTGGTCCATTCAAACGAGGCAGAACCAAACAGTGAGGTTGAATAATTATCGGTGTGAAGATTTTTAAGAAACAATAACAATGACTTCCACACACAGGGTTTTACACAGTACAAAAGCCTGTGCTCACAAAGCATCCTTAAGTTGTTGTGTTACTGTCCCTATGTTAACAGAAGAAGAGAGTGAGGCTTGAGGTGTGGACTGTCTGTCCCAGGTCCCTGAGTATCCCCCAAACTGCCAGGTTGTTTGCTGATGAAGATACAACATCAATTTCCCAAGACTGTCCAACCAGCCCAAGTGACATGCATATGTGATGGTCACCTGGATTGACAGAGGCCACCATACTGGGAATTTTCCATTTGGTATACCAGACATATAGTTTGTTGATACCGAGTGAACAAGTTTAAATCATGCCATAGCTCTACCTCCCTCTGTACTATTGTGACAGAATAAATGCACCAAGAGCCAAATCAAAGGATGAGGTTATATCTGTGCGGACTGCCGGACTCTGCTCTGCAGGAACTTGGGCAAGTCTCCCACAGCCTGTGGGTCGAGAACAAGCTCTTAGGTGCCAGCCTTAAGGTATATGAATAATTTTAATGGCCTTTGACCTCTGCTACCTTCCCTCTACCCAAATCGCATAGACTATGCCATGCCAACCACGTGTCACAATGAAAACAAAGAAAAACCACTATTTTGTTCAGAATTCACACAATTCAAGGAGATAATGTCTGTATGGAAGGAGGTCATAAACACACTAGAACACACCACCCAGATGCTGAGAGCCAGGGTGGAGGCTGTGACGTGGCCGCCCCCTCACAGCCTCCCCAGCTTCCCCCAGCGCCTCCCTGCGCTAACGAGGCCCACCTGGAGTCAGGCCTAATGCAGGTAAAAGGCCTCCAATACTTGCGTCCTCCCAGGAACTGGCAGCAGGGTGAAAGCAGGACAGGGTAGTCCCCTGTCCACCCCAATGTGGCTTAGGACCCCTGGAACACCACTGGGTGCTATTCAAGAGCCTTCATCCCTGTCTCCTCAGCAGGCCCACTGGGCCTGGCAATACCCACATGCCAGGAGGAAGCGGGGGTCTGGCAATGGCAGCCACGCCGGGACTCCACAGCTCCTGGCAGGCATGCAGCACGAGCCGTCTGAGGGGTGCACGCACTTCCTCCTTGCACTCCCAGTCTTGAAGGCCAGGGCGGGTGTGGCCCCGCACTGGAGGGTCTGGAGCCATCACCTGTGTCTCTCCGAATGGAGTAGCTGCCCACTTGCTGAGGATGAAAAATAACAAACCTGGGCTTTGTTTTATTACATCCACTACAGAAGCAGGAAAAGGGCAGTGATCGGCCAGGTCTGTGGTTCCCATCTGAAAGGACTGGTCCCAGGAAGAAATGAGATCTAATGCTGAGATATCCCAAACAGAGCCAAATGCACCCAAGCCCCCATGCTCCCCTCTCTGAGTCCAGCACCAAGAACACACAGCAGGGCACGGCCTGCCCTCCTGGATGAGAACTGGCTACCTGCAGAGCAGGGTCACTGTAGGAGACAGTCAGTCTCTGCCCTGCACACCTACTCCTTAGCTCCAGCTTTGTTGTTATTTGTTCTTAAAGGCCCGTTATGTTATCTTCGGGACTACTTAAGTTTTGTGAATGGCTTCCGAGACCTTCCAAATGAGCCTTTAAGACAAGTGCCTGCTTACCCCACTCCCTGCTGGAGACCTCACCTGGCAGGTGCATAGGCCATGCCTACCAGAGAGAAATTACCCACTGCAGCCTGCTTGGTGAGGCTCCTGGCCTCTCCACAGCACAAGCTGCCCTCCTAGGTGACGTCCTCTCTGATTACCTGCAGCTGCCAGTTCAAAGTTAACAGACTCCTGCAGCGCAGCATGGCACTGCCACCTGACTCAGTCTGTCCAAAGTCTAAAGGCTGCTGACAGGGGCAGGCAGTGGTTTCCAGGCAACATCTGGAGAGCTGACAGAAGGCTCTCGATGACAGGTGAATTACTAAAACCAAGCAGGCAGGCAGCAAGAATGACTTCTGAAGATGGTCCTAAAAAATGCTAGCTCCCTTTTCTGTTTTCCAAAATGCATCTCTATAAAGTTCTAGTCAAATGGCTTATAATTTAAATAGGAAAGCATAACCAACGTATTTGATGGTGAAAAAGAAAGCAATTGAGTTTAGAAAGCCTGGAAAGTGGTCCCTGAGTGAGTGCTTTAAAGGCAGTTTATATATACTCGGTCTTGCACACTCGAGTCTGAAGCCCCGCTGCCTCGATGCTGGCAGGAGGAGATGGCTCAACAGGCTCACGGGGTCCCGGCCTCCTGTGACATGCGTCAGGGGTCCAGGGGCCAGAAGAGACTAGGACAGCCTCAAGGCTGATGTCTCTAAGGAGTGTGCCTGCTAGCAGCACTCTCTTCCTAGAGGCACAAGCAGGCCAAATCCAACAAGACCCACAGTGGGGGCCAGCCTCAGTCAGCCACCCTGAGCTTGGAGCCCGCTCTGCCCCTTGCTCAGCCTACTCTGTCTGCTCTGGGCCTGTGACATGCCCCCTCAGGCCTGGCTGGTGGCCAGCATCCCAGCACCCAGGTCGGGCCCAGCACTGGGGCCCAGAGCCCCAGTAGGACAACATTCTTTAGATTGACACAAACACCACAGGGGGCTTTAGCATTGCATCTTGGGGTCGCGCTGAATGCCCAAGGACCTAGAGGTATGCTGAATAACAGGGAGAGGAAGATGCACTCCAGGCCTTGACGCAGCGGCTCATACACATGAATACACACACCTCCTCTCTGTCCCCTCTGCCTCCTCCTGGGGTGGTCTCCATGGCACACTTTGTACATCTTAAGATTTCTGCTCAGTCTAAGAAGTATGTTTAGGAATTTCCCTTCTTTGACACTTTCTTTGCAGTGCCCAAGCCACACATCCCTCAGCACATGTAAGAACCAAACTAAGGGCCAATAATACCTCTGCTGCATTCCTATTATATTGCAATTTATAACCTGCCACAGAAAACCCTTCAAACAAGCAAATCAAAGTCTTCATAGTGTGCTATAAATAGAAAGGGACTTTGGACCTGGGCTGGCGTTGAGCTTCTTTCCCTCTTTGAGTCCCAGTTTCCTAACATGGTATGCCTGAGTTGTGGATGGAGACCCACGGCAGATCCTATGTGTCTGCCCAGGGCCTACAGATGGCAGGACCTTGTCAGGGTCAGCCCTGTCCCTCCAGTGCTGGCACCAAGAGCTTGTGTCTATGAGAAGCAGTTTCTGTCATTTTTCTAAGGCACATTCGCATTTGCTTCCTATACCTCCACGTCATTTATGTGATGGAGCTGGAGAAGAAACCATAAGTGCAGGGTTTGAAGAGCCCTGAGTTGCAGAGAGTGTGAGCAACTTGTTCAAGGCTGCAAGGCACTCCAGCACGGAGCAGCCCTATGGGAGTGTTTGTTCCCAGGACACAGCGGCCCCTCTGGGCTCCACTACCTCTAACATCCCTCTCACATGCCCCACACAGGGACCACCACACTGTGCTCTGGCCTGAAGGCGGGAAGCCCCCCTGCTGCCCTGGGCCAGGGCAGGGGTGTGGAGCTGGGTCTCTGTGGGCCTACCCAGACTCAGGCTGGGGAGGACCCCACACTCCCTGCCCCTCAGCCTACTGTGCCTCACAGAGCAACCCTCACTCACTCCTGGGACTTTAAAGACATCACAATATGCTCTTCAACAATGAACATGCAGGCTGTTCAAATACCAATACAAAAGATGGATTCACTATCAAATTCCTTACAGCCACAAAGGCAGTCATATCAAACAATTATGGCTCCAAAGCTCAATGATCACATAGGGTGGTTAGGAATGAGTTGGATAACTTCAAAATCTTCCCTTTGCTGTGGTTGTTCAGAGTTAAACTTTACAAGTGGTAGGTGGCAAGTATCTGTCCTCTACTCACTTAATATCCCAAAGTGACATTATAAAGAGCACAATGGCCAGCATGAGTTACATTGAAACTTAACCAAAACCAA